AAAGAAATACTGATCAATTTCATGAAACTTGAGATTTTTCTTGTTTTTCAGGAACCACACAGCAGCCCAAAATGAAACAGTTGACATTGGTATCGGCGGGTTCTTCCCCTTTGGTTTAGAAGGAACACTGGCCGGAGCAGCGACCTGTTTCTATGCTTTTGTTGGGCTTGACTGCATTGCCACAACAGGTACGATTAGGGCATCTGTTTCCAATGGGTGGCTTGTGGGCCCTTTTTTTTGCACCTCAGAGTGAAATTTGCACAGCCTGCAAATGTAACTTTGGAATAGCATACATGTAAGCCCTTCAGGCATTTACCAGTATCATGACCCTCAAAAATCTGTAATTTTTAGTAAAAATACATATTACTTACAATGGAGGGGGAACTGCCGGCCACAGAGAAATGCAGAACATGAGGATGAGATTGAGGACAGAGAAAGGTGGGGGGATTTATTTCCAGCAGCAGAGCAAGTTTGTAGGTGGATAGTTAATTTTTCATGTCTTACAGGCTCTGAGATGTAAAATAAATTTGAAGCAGAGTGTTTTTTTTTCTTTAAATCTGTGAACAGTGGTGGGCAGCGCTAATCCGAAATTTAGTTCCGCAATTTCTAAAGCGCTTATGCCATAGACAAACTAGCGGAAGCTAATTTTAAAGCACAAGTTCAATTTCCCACTCACTAGCTGGCAACAATTCATGTACAATATGCACAACACTGCCAACTAGCGGTGTATGAACTCTTTTACAACTTAATTCTACAACCGCTGATTGCTGAGGATGTGATTTCCTGAAAAATAACTTTAGCTCCTGGTGTAAAAATTAAAAGGCTGTTGAGGATTGCTAGTTCGGCTGCTTCTTTGTCTTTTTCTTTTGTTTGTTGTAGATTTTTCATTAAAGAAGCATCAATAAAGTAATTTTAAAACTGTTTATTGGAAAACTGAAGCGATGAATTCTGGGTACATGACGGATTTGATTTGTGACGGGAAACGAAAGCACGGATAATGGATAACAGGAAACTATCTTCCCTTCAACATAAGAGCTTGGATTTTAAAGTTTTCCATGTAGTTGCTCCAGTTGACCACTAGATGTCAGTCTTCATCAGCACAACATCTTTAAATAATTTCTGAGTCTCTAACACCGTTGGTCGATTGCTTCGACCAATTACGTCAAGTATTGAGCTCCAGCGTTTAAACTTTATTCTTTTTTTTAAAAAAGGAGCTCTGATTGTAAAGTAAAATAAATCAATACATACAAATTTTAGTATGGATTACAAATGTTAACAGTTTTTGCTGTTGCCTTCCTGCTACGTAAGCAGACACAAAGCATTGTGGGAAATGAGAACCGTGACTGAATGCAACAGTCAGCAAGGATGTATACCTTTCCAATAGGTGTGTTTATCTGGGAGGGGTGCTGTTGGACAGATCACAAGTGTTGTGATTCTTTGACAGCCATACCCTCTGCTGTTCAAGATAATGACTCGTAGATAATTAGTCATTAGCAGTACTGCATTTTAATTTTAGAAAGCGCAAATCTGCTTATGAATTATAAAAATTAGTAAGACCGCTAAAGCGTAAATTAAATATTTAGGTCCACAATTAGCAGATTTGCGCTTTAGCGGGCTGGTGCCCACCACTGTCTGTGAAATTTTGCTAATTCCGTATATCTACAAATGTAATTTATGGACAGTCCATAAAATTTGACATATGTGGAATACTGTAATTTGGGCCCAAACTATGCTGCAGATGAATGTCTTTGGCCAATTTTAAGGGTGTTTATGTTTTTTTTTTTTTTTCATTTTTTTAGATTGAGCACAAAAGCTAATGAAAACCCTCATAAAATGTGGAATAACTTAAATAATGAAATATAAGTATTATAAGATTTTGTCAATAACGTCTTTATTTCAGTTTCATAGTAAAAAAAAGACCACATACCTTTGATTTTTGACCAAGGAGACTTGAGGACCACTTTTCATGAAACTTCTCAAATTTTATTTTATTTTTTCAAACTGTAGATTTTATTCAGTGATGGAGAAACAATGAACTGGAAGGGAATATGAAGTGAGCATAATTTACATAACGTTCTATCACAGTGGTTAGTGTCCCTTTTAAAAACTCGTGATTCAGTTTCAGCAACTGCCAACTACATTTCTACTCTTGTCAGTCTACTGCCGGACCCCAAGACCCCTTTTTAGCAGCTGGTTTTGAATGAAGTGGCTCTTCGTTTTAAGAATAAACAAACATTTTCAGGTACAAAAAAACCCGATAAAAATAATAGAGCAGCCAAATTTTAGGAATTGAATGCTTTTCTATTGAAATATTTGTGTAGTGTGTGCTTTTTTTACTTAAAATTTATACTCCTTGTTCAACCAAAAGACGTATACTTTTCATTAAATGCGTTTTTAATGTTAAGTCAATTTTGAATAAAATTTTATTTTTATATAAATTTTTATTTATTTACTTTATTTACTTTATCAGCCAAATCATTGGCAAATCAAAATTATCAAAGGTTGGACAACACTGATTTAGTAGAATACTCATAAAAACACACAAAACAGTAATTTTTGACTTCTGCTAAGGAGCTGAAACATGTTACCATTATGTAGTTTCTGAGGCACAACAGATTGTTTTTTCAATCATTTTACCTATGGTTTGACTCATCACTGTATAAACCAGTTTATTTCAGGATCAGTTCTGGCTCATTAACAGAGTCAGAAAATGATAACTGCTCTGCTTCTCCAGGCGAGGAAGTAAAGAACCCTCAGAAATCGATACCTCTTGGGATCGTGGTGTCACTGCTCATCTGCTTCTTGGCTTATTTTGGTGTCTCAGCTGCCCTGACACTAATGATGCCCTACTATCTCCTTGACATCAGCAGTCCACTGCCAGTTGCTTTTGAGTACATTGGCTGGGAACCAGCAAAGTATGCTGTGGCTGTAGGATCTCTGTGTGCACTTTCAACAAGGTATGTATGTCACTCTGAAGAGGAAACAAACGATCCCTCTGGCAGTGTAAACTAATTTACAATGAAAATAAGGTGCCAACGCAGACATGATCTGTAGGGTTGATAAATGTATGTTTTTATACATTTGTGGTTCTTCAGCCTTCTCGGGGTGATGTTTCCTATGCCCCGGATGATGTTTGCTATGGCCAGAGATGGTCTCCTGTTCAAGCCGCTGAGCTACACAAGCTCCAGGCAAAGTCCAGTTTTAGCCACACTGTCTGCAGGAGCTGTTGCTGGTAAGAAAGGCGGCCGCTTCTCAACCCAAAATTATAGTTTTACGGAAGATGTAATTAAAAACTCCTGGAAGCATCTTTTGGATGTATATATATTGAAATAATGATTAGATATAACCTGAGCAATTTAGTTAACAAATTGTTCAAGTTGCTATAATTTGTTGAGTGACAGGACCATTGTATTACTACTTAACACTTAATACAAAAGTCTTTTAAATTAAACATTAATTCTTTGTCTTTGCAGCTTTCATGGTTCTCTTATTTGATCTAAAGGCAATGGTTGATATGAGTTCAATTGGGACCATTTTTGCATATTCACTGGTTGCAGTGTGTATACTTATATTGAGGTATGTACCGTTTATTGCCAAATATATAGTATGCATGTGTACTGTATATATGTTTGGTAAGCCTTAAGTAAATTTAATTAACATAAACAATTAAGTTAAAACTATTTTCTATTGAAGGAGATATTGATGCTGGTTTCATTTGCATTAAGAGTGCTGTACTGAATATTTGTAGGATTTCTTGTCTTTTCATTCTAGGTACAAAGAAGACACTAATTTGGTCCATAGACCAGAACCAGTCTCAATAAGCGGCCTCTTCAGGCCTCCAGATCAACCAACTCACCGCACTTCTAAAAATGTCAGGATAACCATGGTCGTCATGTGTGAGTTATCATAATTTTATTTTTTTGTAGCTCTATTCATGCTTCAGTTTCTTCCATTGATACCAATCATGGAGTCACCAGTTGAGTATAAATATTGCATGTTTTAAATAAAGGCACAATGGTTTTTGTTTACTTACACTCAAGTATTGTTCTAATGACTCCAATCTTCCTCCAGTGGTCTTGGTGATAGTTTTGAGTGTACTGCTAAATGAAGCCATGGATAGCCTCCGACGGCAGGAGATCTGGAGTATTGTGGTTGTCTTTGTCCTCGTGCTGATGCTGATTTTCACAGTCATCATCATCTGTAGACAGCCACAGAACACAACTCAGGCTGCTTTTATGGTAAGTGACAGGTTACTGGCGATGGGCACTCTGAGGTACGAGCTACACAGATTAATTGTTGGATTAAGCCTTACATTGTTGCTTACACAGCTCAATATTTTCAGTTCAGGTCAGCAGTTCTCCATCCAAACCAAGCCTAACCTGGGATGGGCCTTGCTTGCCCAGTGAACAATTTGCCAGGACTTGTTTTTCCCCCAGTTTTTGCTTCTACGAACACAAAAATTGCAATACTTTGGGATATGCAGCACATATCACCTGCTTCAGGAGTCCAGCTAAGCCCTGCAGCCTCATTTTGAATGTCTGCTACACTTTTGGGTTTACCAGGTCTGTTTAAGAGATGTCCTCACCACCAGGTAGTCTTATAAGCTCAATTATTAACCTTTGACCCAAGGTAGCCTGGCAGCGAGTACAGTCACGGTTTGAGCCTATACCTCACGCTCAAACATGCTGGTTGTTATGAAGACCTCAAAGAACAATGGAATACCCACATAGCAACCCTTCCAGGACATTCAAAAAGAAAAAAATAAGTAGGTCCTCTGGATGGGTTCTTCTTTAGTAAAACGTTTCGTCTCTCATCCAAGAGACTTCTTCAGTCTGATGAGTTTCAGGTGAACTCAGTCTTAAAAGCACTGCATGTGATTGACCTCTTTGTCCACCATGTGGAGGCAGTGCTTTTAAGGCTGAGTTCACCTGAAACTCATCAGACTGAAGAAGTCTCGTGGACGAGAGATGAAACGTTTCACTAAAGAACCCATCCAGAGGACCTACTTATTTTTCTTTTTGATCTTTTTTCTACCTGGATTACTGAGATGCATCAGGACACTTCCAGGACATTGTCCAAAGACTCCAAGAAAGAAGGGCCACTCATCATCAGCCTAACTTGTCAAATCTAAACCATCAGAAAATGTTAATTTTTGTTAAGCTATTTCAGAAATGTTATTTTAAAATAATTTCAGTTCATTACTTTTAATCAATCCATTATTCACACAGTTCAAGTCATTAAAACTCAACGATTTGATTTTGTTTTACCAGAAGGTTAATTCTGGTAAACGGGTCGAGTTTACCAGAATTGGCACAGAATAAGAAATATTAATCAGCTAAAGATGCAAAGTGTTAAGTTTAAATGTATCTGTAGGTTCCTGGTGTACCTGTGCTTCCAATAATAAGTATCTTCATCAACACGTACCTGATGGTTCAACTTGGATCTGAAACATGGATTAGTTACTCTGTTTGGATGGTAGTGGGTAAGTAACACCCAGTTAACTCATGCAATAATGTTGTAGTTTTGATTTGATTATAAAGGCTTTGAAATAACTGGTATACCTCATTCCACAGGCCTGATCATATACTTTGGATACGGGATACGTCACAGTGTCCAAAAACAAAGACATCAGGAGATGCACACTCAGCCTAATGTAGTTCATGTGATCCAAATTGTTGATTCTGCTGCTTGATATTAAATTAAGCCTAGGTCTTTAAAGATTTATATGTCCATGAAATGCTTGAGGTGATCAAAAAATCACCTTTTTATATTTTTATTCCTGCTCTAGAGTTGGACTGACCTGGTGTCAGTCTGGTCGCTCATTTGATGCATGTTTTAATGCTAATGTTTAAAAACCAATTTTAATAAAGCATTGCAAAGCAATGCAAAATTGACATCTTGTTTATCATTTTATCCTTTGTGGCCTGATCAGTCATTTAAAGGGTTTTATTTGACAGTGACAAATTTTATGACATGGATTTGTAAATTTTATTGAAAAAATTAAATAAATTTTTAGAAACGATCAATTTCACTGCATTGAACCCATCTTTCATCTTGTTCACATACTCGTCTGCACTTCTATTTTAGACGCGGGGCTATCAGAAGAAGGTGAACGGGAACACTATTGTTTTTATTTATTTATTTATTATTTGTAAAACTGTGAGTCCAAGGGTTTGGTTACCAGTAAAAACAGCTTTTTGTCTTTACTTGGCTAAATTGTTTTGGAACATATGACTAAAGTCAAGAGCATAAAACTTTAGAAAATTTAGTCTATTTGAAATCCCCAACAGGATTTACTTTTTTTTCCTGCCAGAGTGTCTTAATTATAAGTACAGCTTTGCTTTTCTTTTTAATTTTTCTTATCTTACAGCAACATCAAATCCACAGTGACCTCAGTGCTGAGGTTCATGGCTGAAACAAAGCACACTTTCTTATGGGAAACGAGACTGGGATTTCTCAAATGTAAATACACATTGATTTATCCTACAGACCTCAGTAGGGGTGGTGATAAAATCTGGTTTTAGATTCATTGTGGCATGAAATATTTGGAATTCTGATTTAATTTTCAAAAATTTATTTTATATTAAATGTTTATATTTGATATTAGTGTTACCACTTTGAGAACTGTAGTTTTATTAAAGCTTCCTGAAGTGGGAACCTATTGCAGTGAAGCTGTTTTCTCATTATTTCCATATGTTCTTTACTGGACCCTTAAGACTTGCTATAAAAGTTGAACTCATCACAATTTTGAAGTCAAATAGCTGCTTTTTGTTTAGATAGATATTCCAGTCCTACCATGAGGACTTGATGGTTTAAAAAAAACTATTAAAACTAACGAAGGAAAAAAAAAATTGTATAGGTCCTCTGGACGGGTTCTTCTTTTGAGAGAGGAGTAAAAGAAGCCATTTTTGTAAAGAAAGACCGTCCGTCATTAAACAGAGGTGGGGGCCTCCGTTTTCAGCTGTCCCCCTGCTACAGTGCTGCCATTGGCAGTATCACTCCACCCTCTGTTAACAAAAGGGATTAATTAGGGTGAACGATGGCCATGTGATGTGAGTATGAGTAACCTGTGAACGATGGCCATGTGATGTGAGTATCAGTCACCTGTGAGCGAAAGCCAGGTGATGTGAGTATGAGTCACCTGTGAACGATGGCCATGTGATGTGAGTATGAGTAACCTGTGAACGATGGCCATGTGATGTGAGTATCAGTCACCTGTGAGTCATAGCCAGGTGATGTGAGTATGAGTCACCTGTGAACGATAGCCATGTGATGTGAGTATCAGTCACCTGGAGGCAGGACATAAAAGCCTGAATTTGCCTGAAACTCTCAGACTGAAGAAGTCTCTTGGAAGAGAGACGAAACGTTTCATTAAAGAAGAACCCGTCCAGAAGACCTATACAATTTTTTTTTCCTTTGATTTTTTACCTGGATTACTGAGATGCATCAGGATATTAAAACTAACCTTGTACAGGTTTGGTTTGCAACCAAATAAGTCTTTGTAACAGACTCGAGCAGTGAATCAACTTTGCAATACTTTTCATTTTCAGTCTGGGTTTTATCTGCTAAACGCCCAGCCAGACCTAGCCTGGTAAAAACCAGACCCTTGTCCTTCACTTTGCTTCATACGAGGGTCTGGACTCGCTGCTGTAGAGAAGCGATTCTTGCTGGAGGTGTGGCCTCTGCTGAAATGTGCGTGTTGCTGTGAAGGAGGCTAAGCGAAGAAGCTAACCGGAAATTGCGTGTGCTGTAAACAACCCTACTGAGAGGAGAAATATATCAAGACGACTGTAAATGAGAGCTGCTGCTTTGTCAGACAAATTTAATTTAATTTGGAAGCCTTATCAACACAGACTGGCTTCATTCACTTCCTCCACTGCCATATGCTAAAATAACTAGCAGACACTGCCTAGAATATTGACGTCATTCAAAACTCCTCCTTCTGTTTGCTGATTGGCCCAGGTAAAATGAACTGACACTGCGCAGAAAATCGACGTTCTGTTCTCTGACTGGTTCGGCTAAAAATCTGCCAGCGAAATCCATGTCTTTGGGAGAAATCCCAGACGGAGCAGTGAAGGGAAACTAGAATTGAGCGGAACTGCGTAGGAAGGCAAGGGTCAGGCTAAACCAGACCATGTATTAGACCAGAGAGCATTTCTCCCCCTCATGTTTTCATTTTAATCACCTTACTTCACAACAACTGCTTTTCTTTTAGTTTTTTCACACTGCAGGTAAATGTGGCCCAAATCTGATTCATTTTGCACCTACACAACGTATCTGATGATTTTCAATGCAAATTTGAATGCTCATCTCTCATTTCATCCGACTCTGATGCAACAATACTGAGGCAGCGGGGAGCCTTTCCACCTATATACTGTATTTATAAAAAGGGACCAACTTGATGCAGTCTCATACAAAGAATTCTGCATGTCTTCAACTACAGAACAGCAGTTAAGTTGGTTTGTCTTTTCATTCCCCATGTCCTGGGTGACTGAGAATCTACAGCAAGATGATGCCAAGTTTGTGTCGGACTGTGTTGATGCCAACAAGTAGATCTGGGCGGTATCACCCAAATTTTATATCACGGTATTTTCAACAATTACACCAGTTTCACGGTATTTGACGGTATTTTTTTCCTCACAGCTCAGCTGATAATAAAATGTACAAATTTTGCTTATTGAGTTTTCTTTTACTGTACCTCTGTTTCACTGTTTCTCTTCTCTCCTACATCTTTTCTTCTTTGCCTGGTTGTAGGCAATAATCATGCATTTTAGTCCGATCGTGAAGGGTTGAGAAAAGATCATTATCGGGTCCATCGTTGCCTGTTAATAAAACTTAAAAAGGACGACTCACCTTGCACACCAGTCTACCTACAGTAGCTCTACTACAAAACTACTTCCCCCGGGCTTTTCACGACAGAAGCACATTAAAGTCTCCATGCATTAATGTCTCCATTATAACGTCACGTGTTAAATCTAACTGTGCACGTCACTGAAGAATTGTTTACTATATTTAGCGGCGGTGAAAACGGGATGTTTTTTTTTACGTCAGTCAATATAAGCAGCTGAAACACTATCCGCCGCCAGTTACTGCAACGTTAGCACGCTAATGCGCTTAGCAGTGCTGCGGGAAACATGTCCCCTGGGAAACAGTTCACTGGAGGCCACGACGAAACATTCCGCATGTCCGAAACCACTATGTCCGGTATTKAGATAATTTATATCATACCAAAAATAAAAACCGGTTTTCGGTACAAAACGGTATACCGCCCAGCACTACCAACAAGTTAAGATCAGTATTGAACTTATTTTACATTCCACTCCAAAAATAAATTGCTGCACCAGAGAATCCATCAAGAGGCCAGATTAAATGTAAACACCGGACCTAACAAGCTGCTCAGATCATTAGTTTCTGATTGTGCATGAACTTCAACATCACACATGCTAATGAATATAGCACATGTGGCTACTCCCTCAAAGCCCACTGAGTGTGATGTCACTTTTGGGCACAATGGGCTCCTCTGAATTAAGTTTATTTTGAAGTCCATGAAGGAGAAAACATTTTCATGGGTTAAAGCGAAAAAAATATTTTGACTGAAATTTTTTTTCCTAACCCCTCCATCCAATTACACATACAGTGGTTTACAAAAGTATTCATACCCCTTGAACTTTTCCATATTTTGTCACATTACAACCACAAACATAAATATATTTCACTGGAATTTAATGTGAAAGACCTAAACCCAATTGAGAATTTGTGGCAAGATCTCAAAACTGCTGTTCACAAACGC